GTTTTCTTTATTGTATACCTCAGTGTGCATATTATCATATATAGAGTGTGTGTGTGTGTGTGTGTGTGTGTGTGTGTGTGTATGTGTGTGTTTACAGTTGTGTAGTCTGAGCAGTACTGTATTGCCTATTTCTTTGGTGCTACATTTGTCTCCATTAGAAAAGATTTAAATCCAAGTCAATCCCTGTCTTGTTGGTCACAGTGGCAAACTATGTAAAACAAAGCAGGAAGACAGAAGGCTGAAAGGGTATGGTTAACTAGAGAGCTTACAGCAGCGTAGCTGCAGCGATGCAGAGAGCTCTCCTGCCAACTTAATTAATCCACCCCCAACAAGTAGCAGCAGCTATGTCTGCAGGAGAAGCTTTCCCGCCAACGTGTCCAGACCGGCATGTAGGTCGGTGTAACTTGTCAGTTGGGGGGTGGCTAATTCACACCCCGAGCGACATAACTCATGTCGACTTAAGCTGTAGTGTAGCCATAGCCAAAACTTGCTGTCTACCCTTATCCATGATCAGCTGAAGACCCCAAACTGCAGAGAGATCTGCAGCCTTGGAGGAAGACAAAAGAGCCTTCCTCGTCTTGGCAACACCACACTGGAAATTGTGTCACCTCGGAAGGAAAATGAATTGTAACACTAAATCCCGGGAATTTCCCAGGGAAAGGATAATTCTTCTAAACACACATGGCCTGTCTTGGGTTTTGGCTTTATAGTACAAGGGTGGCAATCTAGTCAATACAGTACTTTCCCCTTCCCTCCTACAGACCCTCAGGGCATGTGCCATTATAGCCCCCATAGAGTTGACAACTATAGAGCTGCATGTATGTCGCTGTAGCACTGCAGTGTAGACGTTTCCTACACTGAAGGAGTTTTGCTGTCTCTGTGTAAGAAATCCATCTTGCTTAGCAGCAGTAGCTGGGTTGATAGAAGAATTCTTCTGTCCACCTAACTGCGGCTATGCTAGGGCTTGGTTGGCTTAATTATGGTGCTGAAAGTGTGAATTTTTCACACCCCTGAGTGATGTATCTGGGTCAAGCTAAATGTAAAGCCTAGACGAGGCCTTCATCATGCTGTAGGGTCTCTTCCCCATAGTCCAGTTCATTTCTCTAAGGTAAACAGGGAAGCAGAGCACCAGCACTTTTTCAGCAGGGCTCTAATAAGAAGGGCAGCAATAAAACACATTCATATTTCACTTTAACAGGATACATTTAAGATCCAGACACAGAGAGCCTCTCTGGATGTTTACCTGGCCGATGGAAGGAATGTTAGGCTTGATATCCAGACATCGGACACTGCTGAAAGAGTACTAGAGGTAATGGGTTTCTAAATGGGATACTGTTGAAACTGCTAAATTTAAGGAAAAGTGTGTGAAGAGTTGAGATGCTTTCCCTCATATTTTAGCAGGACATAGGCAAAAATGCTTATTTGAGGGAATACCTGAAGAAAACATACACTTGGCATTGTTTACTAATTCTGTAGATAAGTTTCTTAAAGTTTTTATATTAATTAGCATTTTTTCCCTCCGCCCCTAACCTCACCCACTCAACATCCCTGCAGCTCTTTTTGTCTCCAAAGGTAGCTGTTTTGGCCCTGTGTACAGGAGGCCATCTAAGATGATTAGAGAACTGGTGTTTTTGTTTTTTAAAAAGCTTGTTTTCATATAGTTCAGGCCAAATCTGTATAAACGTTGTGTTGCCAGCCAGTGTGGCCAGAGACAGTGTTCTACATTTGTCTTAAATATAGTTTGACAGTTGGTGTGCTGACATGCCTATTGTTACTATCCTATTGTTGGTGTGCTGACATGCCTATTGTTACTATCCTAGCACATAGGAGCTCTAGTTATGGATCTGGACTCCTTTGTGCTTGGTGCTGTACAGACACAGAACAAAAGGAACAGAGGTTCCTGCCTCTACAATAGAAGGAGTCTACAATCTATGTATCTCGCTGACCGATGCCCAATCTTTTTTTCCCTGGTGCTCCCTCTTTCTATCTGTCTTGTATCTACCTGTTGTCTATAGTAAGTAAGAAGAACCTTTAGGGTAAGGAGTGTCTCTTTGTTCAGTGCCTAGCACAATGGGGCTGAGGTGTCTAGATTTTGCCACAATACCAATAATAAATAGTTACAAGTTTTGTCTTAGACACGCTAGCAGCCAAACTTTGTTTAAACACAGAGCGTCTGAACCGGGTTGTAACATCTTTTTTTTAATTCAAAGATGACAATAGGCCTGTTATAGATAGGGGAGCTTGAGTTGCTGGCCTGTAATCTTTTTTTCTCTTCTTAGTAACAGAAGCCAAACTATTGCCATCTGCCTGATTTCTATTTTCTCATCCCTTTCACATTCTGAGCTTCATCCCCCCAACATTCCTCTAGCCAGAGATGGTGAGTGTGTAACAATATGGATGCTACTTCCCCAGTAGCCACTGTTGCTGCTGCAGGGGACACAGAGAGCCAGATTGCATGAGGTTGGTGGGCAATTACACACCAGTACTCCCATTGACCTCAGTGGGATTATTTGTGCACGTGACTGCTCGCCATCCTAAGTAAAGAATTCATGCAGTCTGGCCCTCAGATGTTACTCTGGCTAATGAAGTCTCTCCACCTCTTTGCCACACACATTATCATTGCCTCTAATATCCCTGTTCATCATGGGTCCAAGAACTGAGAGCACTAAATCTCTTCTCCAAGCAAAGTCCCTGATCTAGCACAGAGAGAGAACTGCCCAAATACCGGCCAGATCATGTTTCTGAAGTAAAGCGCACTGCAGCTGAGCAGCTGCTTTGCTGTGTGTAAAGATTTATCTCACTTTGGTTTCTTTTCATTAACCGATAGTTTGGCCCAATGGTTCAGGCTGGCCACACAACATTGTTCTAGCAGTTCTACATCATGCAAGTGAAATGAATTCCACACACCTTCCTACAGCGATTTCCCCCACCCCTTTGAAAAGCATCATGTTCAAGTTTGTTGAGCCTCTTTCTACCTTTGGAGCTCTTCACGGCTTAGTTGCCAAAAAAAAAGGACTTGCAAAACAAGAAAATCAGTTAATCTAAAAAGCACGCACAGTAACGCCTCACTTAACGTTGTAGTTACGTTCCTGAAAAATGCGACTTTAAGCGAAATGATGTTAAGCAAATCCAATTTCCCCATAAGAATTAATGTAAATAGGGGGGTTAGGTTCCAGGGAAAAAATTTTCACCAGACAAAAAACTACATATTATATAGATATACACACAGTATATGTTTTAAACAAACAATTTAATACTGTTTACAGCTATGATGATTGTGAAGGTTGGTTGAGGTGGTGAAGTTAGAGGGTGGAAGAGGGAGGGATATTTCCCAGGGAATGCCTTGCTGCTAAATGATGAACTAGCACTCGGCTGAGCCCTCAAAGGTTAACTCCCTGTTGTTAATGTAGCCTCTCATCAAGGCAGCACAAACAGGAGGGAGGGGAGACCGAGACAGACACACACCTTGTGTGTGGGAGGGGGAGAGAGATGCACACTGCCCCTTTAAGTAAGCTGACCCACTCTTAAGTGTATTGTCTTTTTAAGTGGATCAGGAAGTTGAGACAGCAGCTGCTGCCCCAGGCTCTCTGTCTCTCTCCGTCTGTGTCTCCTCCCTGCCCTATATGGAGAAGGGGTAAGCGGGGTGCAGGAGTGGGGGGAAGGGGCACCCTGACATTAGACCCCCCCCCTTCCCCGCCTGCACAGCAAGCAGGAGTCTCTGGGAGCAGCTCCAAGGCAGAGGGTAGGAGCAGCACTTGGCAGTGGGGGGGAGGGACAGCTGAACTACCAATTGTTAGCCTGCTGGGTGGCTGCAGCACAGGGAACTTAGGGGAGTGGGGAGCTGATAGGGGGAGCTTGTGGGGGGGCTGCCGATCCACCCTGGTTACGAGCCCCCACCAGCTAGTTGCAACGGGCTGCTCTTCCTGCAAGCAGTGGACAAAGCAGGCGGCTGCCAAACAACGTTAGAAGGGAGCATTGCACAACTTTAAACAAGCATGTTCCCTAATTGATCAGCGAAGTAACAGCGAAATAGCGTTAACCAGGGCGACTTTAAGTGAGGAGTTACTGTACCCTTCAGATTTATATCAGCATGACGGTAGCTTCCTTCTTCGTCACTCGCATCTTCAATCCCATCTCTCCATAAAAATATCTTGCTATCTAAGCACTCGTGCATATTGTTCTGATACCCTTGTTTGTCCTGTTTAAGGGCCAGATCCTCTTCAAGCCGGTGCACTCTTTGTGCAGTAGTACTTTGGGTACACTTCACAATAAAGTGCCATGTACACTTATGGCACTATAGGCAAACAGCAATGATTCTGATAATTCATTGGCACTGTAAATGCTGCCTGTTCTTTGATTCCCGTTAGCATGGGACAGGCTTAGGGGCATGTGTGAGCTTTCTTCATTATATATTTCTCACCACATTCCCCCTGGTAGCTTCCCAATTAATAGTGTAGAGTCTACAGGGGTTTGAAGTAATATACACTGGGGTATGCCTTGATCCAAGAATTAGAAAATTAAGCTCAATACCGACTGAATGTTTCACATTGGGTAGCTCTATGAAGTGTGTTGAATAGAAGTAGGTGCTTCATTTGGATCACTGCGAGATGCTGTACTAAGTGATGAGTTTCTGACACTCTGTAGTGCCACCTTGCAATTTCAGGTAACAAGTTAATAGGGACTTTGGGTCAACAAAATATAGGGTGAAAGTTAGTCCTGGTCAGGGTCTTTTCTGCCTGGGCCTCTGAACATTTATTCTAGTGCTCTAAGTGAGGGTTGGGGGGAAGTGATATTATGCTCCAGCTCTCTCAACTGGATGGGTTTGTAGAATTGGTACCTTCTAAAGGCGCTCTGAAAACTTGTACTTCCACCTTGTGTTCAGACCAAACAAGTCCTGCTTCTCCCACTGCTTCTTATGCCAACTCAAACACCCAGCAACTAAACTATGGAAAAATCATTTTCCTGGTGAAAGTTTTTTCATGTCCTTGCCTCTCCGTTGCATCTCAATGACTTCCTGATCAAATGGGCTGCTCATAATTGAAAGAGGCACCTTTTTTACTCTTTTACCTGTGAGCCCAGGAGGTTCTGTGGTACCTATTGAGTGTGGGAATGGTGGGGGTAGGCTCTGGCTGCTTTAAATTAAGCTCTGGTTTCTGATGCCTGAAGCAGAAAATAGGCAGAGTGGATTGTTTTCAGCTCCTCTTCCACCCTACACTTTCCATTCCTCTCCTTGCCCCACCCCTTCCTTGTCACACGTCCCGCACTTGAGGTTGCGGGGCGGGACTGGCACAGGACTGTTCCTACATTCTTTGCCAGCAGGGCTGGGGGCCATTCCTCCTTTACATCTTTCGGGTGGCATAAAGGGGCCATAGCAAAACAGAATCTACTTCTGAGAGTCAAGCTGGGTAGGTCTTTCTTTCTCATGAGATGCCAGTAGCAAGAATGTGGAGGGTTGACGTTTAAGTCTTAACGGCTGCTTCTGCCTAGCGGGATAAAGGAACAGTTTAAAAAAAAAACATTTTTTTTTTGAAGCTGCATTAATGGCTGGAGACCAGACCTTGTATAAATTCATGATCGGATGCATAGGTGACCTCCTTTTTTCATTTTTTGTTTTTAAGGTTGTCTCATACAAGATGGGGCTGTCAAGAGAATTAATAGGATATTTTAGCTTATTTTTTATTCAAGATCACAGCAATGGAGTTCTCTCTGGTAAGCCATGTGCAGTATGTGTCACATAATGCACCCCTGGGTGGGCCGTTGCCAGTGTGGATTGGCTCTCTGGATCTAAAAGCATTACTCTATGCTGCTTGAGCTATAAGACTCATCGCTGTTAGCTGATGAACTTCCAGCCTTTGAATCTCTATATGTAGCCCAGCAACCACGAGGGAGGAACAGAGGATCACAGGTGGGTTGGGGGTTATCTATAGCATAGTGGACTTTGCCTATAAGCACAGTTTGCATTGCATTTAATTTACAAGGCATATAGTAATTTGGTCACTATTGTGTGGGTTATTTTGGTAAATATTGAGCTAGGTTGGCTTTATTTCAGGCTTCTCTGCAAATGGTTATACTTTGAAGTAAAAACTGTTTATGTAATCTCAAACTCAGATCTGAACACTTGGAAGATTTCCCCCTCTAGCCCCTTATAAAATGAAGTCCTTAATTTGCTTTCATTTATGCCCTCTTATTCCACTATTTCACTTTTTAATTGATAAGCATAGAAAGGTCATAACAGTGATGGAACTGGATGTGCCCTAAATCTAGGGTGTGATTCTCTGTGCTCACAAAATGTAGAAGGCTCTTGGAGTACTGTGTGTTTTTTGTCCAATATGGGCTGGTGATACACATATGCCCTCTGCCCCTCCCTCCATTTGGGCAGCTGTAATCTAGTGGACTGAACCCGGGACTGGGACTCAGATCTGGGTTGAAATCTTGGCCCCATTGAAGTAAATGGCGAAACTCTTGTTGACTTCAGTGAGGTCAGGATTTCACCCTTGAATTTGCTACCTGACTCTGTTACTGATTCTGTGTAGCCTTGGACAAGTCACTTAACCTCTCTCTGCCTCAGTTTTCCAGTCTGCAAAATGGTGATGATGATAATCTCCTGGAAGTATTTTCAGGTCCATAGACAAAAAAATGTGCTGTAGAAGTACCTTTTACAGTGATCTAGATTTTTTTAAATGTATGTAAGATTAAGGCTGAAAGACTTCTTGGTGTTAGGATCATGACAGGTGTTCAATCCCTTGATGGGTTTGTAATACAACTATTGCTGCTAAACTTCACTACATATGGTTATTTTATTTATCATTTCTCTGTCTTGACTATGTCTTGCTTTTATGGATGTGGAAGGATGAATGTGATGCTGAGTGTGGAATCCCCAGCTTTTATTACATGAGTAGTAGGTGAAAGTCTGTGCTATTGCGTGTGTGGCAGTTGAGCCAAGTAACCAATCAGTGCATTCTCCCTTATACAACCGATGAAATTGTTGCATGCAAATTTAGCTGTAGAGTTAGGGTGGTGATTTGTCTAATTACGTCTGATATTACAATGGTCTAGGACTCTTGGCACAATATGAGGTCCCTGGAATAGATGATGTTTTATAAAGTCATATTCAAAATTACTAAATATAAAAATATTTGTTGTGTATATATTTGTTAATGGTGATAGAAATTCTATAAGAGAAATAGGAGCTGCCCCTTTAAGAATAGGGTGGGAGCACACTGAGTGAGCTACTGCAGGGCCTAAAGTAGGGATGGGCAAACTATGGCTCGCAGGCCGTACCCGGCCTGGCAGACATTTTAATCCAGTCCTCAAGTTCTGGCTGGGGAGCAGGTCTGGGGCTTACCCCGCTCTGGCACTCTAGCTGGGGAACAGGGTCAGGGGCTGCTCCACACAGCTCCCGGAAGCAGCAGCACGTCCCCGCTCCAGCTCCTACTCAGCTCTGCTGCGCGCTGCCCCGTCCGCAGGTGCTGCCCCTGAACCCTGGCCAATGGGAGCTGCGGAGGCGGTGCCTGCAGACGGGGCAGTGCGCAGCAGAGCTGCCTGGTCACACCTCCGTGTAGGAGCCGGAGGGGGGACCTATCACTGCTTCCAGGAGCCACTTAAGGTAAGTACGGCCGGGAGCCTGTACCCAAACCCCCTGATACCCCTCCCGCCCTCTGAACCTGTCGGTCCCAGTCTGGAGCACCCTCCTACACCCCAAACCCCTCATCCCCACCCCAGCCCAGAGCCTGCACTACCCCCCATGGCCCAACCTCCTGCCCCAGCTCTGATCCCCCTCCCACCCTCTGAATCCCTTGGTCCCAGCCCAGAGCACCCTCCTGCACCCCAAACCCTTCATTCCCAGCCCAGAGGGGCTCCCCCCCCCGCACCTCACCCTCCCTGCCCCAGCCTGGAGCTCCCTCCCACTCCCTGAACTCCTCATTTCTGGCCCCACCCCGGAGCCCGCCCCCCCAGCCATAGCCCTCACCCCCTCCTGCACCCCAACCCCAATTTCGTGAGCATTCATGGCCTGCCATAAAATTTCCATACCCAGATGTGGCCCTTGGGCCAAAAAGTTTGCCCACCCCTGACCTAGAGTGTTCAGAATATGTGCTGATGCAAGAGAAGGCTGTTTGTAGCTGGGCTCTGAGGAGATCTCTGTCTGCAAGAAACTCCTAAAGCAAAAGGTTTTGTATTCCTAGAATAAACAATGTTTACACTGAAAAGCAGAGTCTTGTGATTAAGAGTGTAACAATGGCATAGACACACTCCTTACTGTTTCACAAGTGTAATTCATAAAGTCCAAGTGGCTGAGAACTTAAAAATTGGACAGTAACAGACTACACTTATCAACCTGTTGACATTCTGAACAAAAATTGCTCTCAACCATGATTGTAGCTGTTTCCATTGCTTCACACTGACTCAGCAGAAGTTCTAGGCTTCAGTATGAGACACAGCCAGGGGCAATCCTGGAATCTTACATCTAGGTAAGATATGTTTTATAGTTAAGTGTATTTGTTTATATACTATTTGACATATTCACAAATTAACTTATCTCTGAATTGTGTTGTATAAAAATACATAGCATATTGAAATAAATTTTCCACATATTGCACTTTTATTTACTTTAGAACTTTATAAAAATGGACATATTGAATTCTCCAGGTACGTGTACAAACTGCTTTCAAATATATATACACACGCACACACACACGTCAATCAGTGATGGATGATAAAACCTGCCAAGCTGCAGCATAACCCCCAGAGTCAAACCACCTTAAGGAAACACCTAAATACTCACATGCTTAAAGTTACACACACGTTTAAGTATGTTGCTGAATTAGGGACTAAGCACAGGAGTAAGCACTGGCAGGATCAGGCCCTTAATTTTATGTTTGGAAAACTTCTTTTTGAAAGCAGTCACCTCTTGTGTGACTTGTATTCCTTACTGCACTTTAGTGATAGTGGTTTGTCTTCTGTTTCATTCAAGCAATGAATAACCTAAAGTGCCACAACCCTATTAGTGTACATCCGAATCACAAAACATTTATTTTGCCTCCCATAATTGCAGCTGCCCCTAACTGCTCAGCATTATTTGAGATCTATACTAACTTAAATCTCCTTTCCTGGATTTCTCAGTTAGGCCTCCTTACTTGCACTCCTTGCATTAGTATAACGCAGAATAAGAAGATACTGGTATACTGCTCCTTAAAGATTAGGTAAAGAGATGGGGGTGGGGAGTGTCTAAACAACATGATTGTCACCTACCATTTTTTATCATTTGTTTTTGTGATGTCCTCTTTCTTTTACATAACATATGTTGTCATGGAGCACTTACTGAAATACTAAAATAGCCGTTCTGCTTCAGTGGGGTTTCAACCAATCAGGCTTATTGTCTCTCCTTTTTTTTTCCTACCTGCCCTGTCCCCAGTGGTGAAAAAAGTGGCAGAATTTGAACTTCCCTACGTGAGTCTTCAGAGTATGAAAGAGTCAGACTGTAAGATTGGGATCAGAAAATGGTGAGCTGGAAGCTGAAGAGAAATTTGGAAGATGCATTAAAATTATAAATGTACTAGAAAAGAGAATCCTCACTACTTACATTCTGTGTATTTGGCCTGAGAGCATAACACACACAGCTGATTTTTTTTTTTGTAAGGAATATAATGTTTCCTAACTGCTGGTCTTTGGACCTCTCCGTGTAATGTTGGAACTGACCAGTTTATATGATCCTGTAACAGTTGTTGATGGAATTTCCACTATTGCAATCAGCCAGTTACTCTTGAACACTTTCAAAATCTATAGATACAGATGGTTTGTTGTTGTTGGTTTTTGTGTTTGTTTTTGTTTTTTTGCCAAAGCCACCAATAAAGGAAACCTTTTATACTTATTTTCTTTTCTTTCGTTAATGGTGTTTGTTTGTTTATTTTTTATATTCAGCATTGTATCTCCTACAAGAAAAATGGGAGGACTGGGGGTTCTGAGCTGCAAATTACAGTGTGTATGGGGGAGGTTGTTTTTTGGGAATTGTCTTTAAAGATCTCATTGCTAAATATTAGATCACAAAAGACCTGAATTATAGCAGTGCCACTATGCTTACGTGTCTGTCACTGAGCTATATAAAAATATTTTCAGACACTTGTAACTTGTCAATTTTAAATTTAACTGGACTGAAGCTTGGCATACATAAGCCCTTCTGTTAAATTCTCCAGTTTATAAGGGCTTACCTACATAGGGAAATTTAGTGGCAGAACTATAGCAGTACAGTTATACTGCTATAACTTCCTGTGTGGACACTCTTATTCCAGTCTGAGTGCTTTTTTGTGGTTTAGCTTGTGTGTATTGGAAATAGCGTAAGCTAAACCACAAAAAGGCACTCGTATTGAACAGTATAACTGTACTGCTATAGTTCTGCCACTAAACTTCCCCAGGTAGGTAAGCCCTAAGTTTTAGACACATGCAAGAGAAATATTAAATGGAGTTTTTAATACTTGGATTCTAAATCATTGTTTTCCATATTATTGTGATAAAAGCAGATGAGCAATTTTAATTTACTTCATACTGCAGTCTATTTCATAGAATCATAGATTATTTGGGTTGGAAGGGACCTCAGGAGGTTATCTAGTCCAACCCCCTGCTCAGAGCAGGACCAATCCCCAAATGGCCCCCTCAAGGATTGAACTCACAACCCTGGGTTTAACAGACCAATGCTCGAACCACGGAGCTATCCTTCCCCCCATTTGCTACAATGCTGTAAAGAGTAATTTTTTTTTACATACTTCAGAGATGTGTAATTTCAAAGATGTGACATATTGCTGTCTTTTATTACTTTTGAATAGTGGGATCTTTCTGTATCTATTACTGTTTGGTTATACTCCCAAGTGCATATTTATTGCTGAATGGAAATGCTAATTGTTGTGCTTAGAAATGTAATGTTTAATATTTTTGTATTTGTCAGGTATATGGATCCCTCTCTTGATAAAATGTTAATGGACTGTAGAGCTTCAGTGAATTTACTCTATATGCAGGTAACAAAAGAAGAAAACTCCTGATACTTCTAAAAGCTAATTCCCAAAATGCGTCTCCATTTTCATAATGTAAAAGCTATGTTTTAAATGGTGCAAGTTATCTGAATATTAAGTATGGTCAAGTACTTCTATCTTATTGTTTTTTTCTTTTTTTCTTATTTAAAAACAAAAGAAATAACTATGGATGAGCTTGTTCTATGAGACTTTTTCATGTACAAATAACACTGTCTAGTTTGCAAATTCTGTTTAGTGTAAGTAATTTATTCCATGCACACAGGGGATTTATTTAGACATTGGTCCGTTTGCTTCTCATGACAATATATGTAAGTCCTATTATGTGCTAGTGGTGCTAAGGCTGAGATCACACTAGCATTCTGAACACTTCCACTACTTACCATTTTCTCAAAAAAAAAATCGTTTGAGGATTAAAATGTCTCCTGGTAGTCTGCCCAGAGGTTAATTTTTTTTTGGAAGATTTCATAAAACTCCACTAGGCTTCTTCTGTTTTATCTGAAGGTAGAAAAAAATAAATATCTGTAATAACTTTTACTCTCCTCCTTTTCTATTGAGAACTCAACGCAAAAGGCTTCAAACCTGGCACGTGCATTGTCTTAAGCAATCTCTGTTAACAAATTTCACGGTTGTAATTCACCCTCGTGCAGCTCCACCCGTGATCGTATTGGTGGAAGCTGTAGTGTAGACAGGGCTCCAATGTCCTTACCACTATATTGTGCTGGGAGGTCCTTCAGTGTAATGATTAATTACCGTTTTTGCTTGCTCATTTTATTTTTAAAATTGGTAGTTGTGCCCCATCATTCCATGTGTTGTTACATTTTCTCTGTGTACTGGAGTCATGTTCTGCACAAGCAAACGAGCAGGTTGTCAGAGTAATGATAGTTACCGCTTTTCATAACCAGAGGTCGAGGCTTGCAGGTATGTTGGGTAACGCTGAATTAGAAACCATTTTGGTGCAGGGACTAAGAGTTGAGTAGACTAAAAGTTGTGTGCAGCTGTCCAAAAATCTGAGCACGTGTTTTAAAAGATGTTGGGATATCTTCCCCACTCCCACAGTAAAGGGCAGATGGAAATACCCCTGCCCCCCCCCCTATTTTTAAGTTAAAATTTACTAACTCTTCTAAATAAGGCACTGCAGGAAATTGAGAAGAATTGGGTCAAACCCACAGATGGACAGATGCAGAAACTGGAATCGCTACAAAAAGCGGCAAACAAAATGAAGGTAAAGTGCTCTTTTAAAATGATATAAACCTATTGAGAGAATATATTTCAGGATGTAGACCCTTGAGGCTGCAGCCACATATATTTAATGTGTTTTTTCTCTGAAAAGTGACTCTGTAAAAATGGCATCATAAAGTTCCATATTTATCCTCTCCTCCCTCCCCCCCCCCCGTGCCTTTCAGACCCATTTTACAGATAAATTGAGATAGAGACACCAGATGACTAGAGCTGGGTGAATAATGGATTTTTTTGGTTCACTGCATTTCCAAAAAATTGAAGACAATTTTTTGGGTTAAACATTTAATTCACTCCAAAACAAAATGTTTCAATTATGAGCATTTATTAAACACTGCTAATGTTTAATAAAAGTGAAGGAAATTTCTAAACAACGTTTTTCTGAAGCAAAAAAAATGAGTTTAATTTAAAAAATGTCAGAATAAAACATTTCCATTGTTTCAGATGGCGAGGAGGAGGGGGAGAGAGGGGTTTGACTGAAACAACTGGTGAATTTTAAACCAATTCGCAAGATGGCTTGGTGTTACTGAATCTGCATTTTTAGCCAAAAAAAAAATTCAGATGGAAAAACTTTTCCAGGTCTAGAGGTGACTTCAAGGCCACAGTGAATTGGTAGAGCTGGGATCAGAAATCAGGTCTTGGTTCCTTGTGCCTTGCTCAGTTACTAGATCACAACTGCCTCTGTACAGAAGATCATGTAGGACACTATATTTCATCACTTTCCGATTCTGTGTTTCTGATGCAGGTTCTAGAGCTGGTTCAGGAAGTGCAGCACTATGGATATATACAGCTTGATCCCTGCACCTGTGACTATCCAGAAGTAGGCTGTTCTGCTGCTGTTCATGTAGGAAATAATGAGATTAGCTGCTGCATAAAGTTACCTAGTAACCAGACCAAAGCGGTCAGCTTCAAGATCAACAGGGTGAGGTGCTGGCAGGTCACTTTTCTAGTAAGTACCTTGTTGACATTGCAGCTCCCCAAATATTTCAACACATTTAATTCAAAATGACTTTTGAGATCAAGGCTGTCAGGGATCAAGGCTGTATGAGATCAAGGCTGTCAGGGAGCTGGTCAGAGCTCTCTAGTTCTCAGATACCTTGCCCCCATCATACAGACCTTCAGTTGCCTTCCCCTAAACTAGAAGGTGGAGTGGGACAGCGGAACTGGCACATGAGGTAGCAGAGCCACCTTAGTCAACTTTACGTTAGTGGAGATTTCACCCTTCACAGAGGGACTCTTCCAGTACAGATCTCAATCCGCTTCAAATTCACTTTTGCCCTGTAAGCCACACAAACTGAACCTGGCTGACTGGAGAGTCCAGCCCCGATTCTGAGTTAATACCTCTTTGTGGCAGTTTCTTCTCTTTCTCTTCAGGGCGCTATTACACAGCCAAAAGACCAAGGACACGAGCAGACCCTAGAGCTCAGGTTCGAGTACAATGATTCGGACTCATGGAGATGGATCGTCTTTTACACAAAACAGGTTAGCTTCAGGGCAGTAAAGAAAAAGGCCTTTGATGAAAAGTAAGCTGCTAGCCACTGGAGCTGGAATTTACTCTTCAGTGCTTGTGTGTGTCTCCTATAACTAGACAACTGCTGTGTCTGTGCCAGTTCAGTCTAAGGACAGACTTACATGGGAGCTCAAATGCTTCTCCCCAGAGAGAGGGTTGAGATTGGCAAGAGAAATTGCCCTGCACTGGGCTGCAAGCCTGGAATGGTATGCAGAGGTGTTAGTTTTCTTTTTTTATTTACTAGCCCAGTGGATAGTCACAAATTTTAATGTGGTGGAAATGCTTAACGACTAGACACTATCTTCCACATGGTAGATGATGCACATGAATATTACACTCAAGTACATGTTAAATAAAAAACAGGTACATGATAGATATAAATCTATACCAGCATATTGTAAATAATAATAATTTTTTAAAAATCCCTTTTTCCTCCTTCAGTACTGTCCCACCTCACTCATCAGGTCTCTGGCTGCTGTTCAAAGAAAAAGGTGCTCAAAAAGAGAAGTAGCCAATATACAGTTATGCACCAGAGCTGCAAAACTCAGAGCTGGATATGAAAAAACCCAGGGTTTTTTGAGGGGTGTGTGTGGAATCTGGGGGTCTTGGTACAGGCCCATCCCTAGTACTTTGCTTTTAATTAAAAAAAATAAAAGCAAACAAGGGAATATGGTGTGTTCTTCAAATAAGCTGTTTCTCTTCTTTCACCTCCTCTCTCCTCCCTTTCCTTCCCCCCACCCCAAACCTGCCAAAATTAATAGCAGATAAGACTTTACAAGTGAAATCAGAATGCTTAATTTTTCATGCATTATTTCTGCATTCCAGTATGACTCTGTATTGTCCACCCACTTATGTAGTAGCTCATTATTTTGCTGCTACTCAGAGTTATACAAGAACATGAATCACCCCCATATTCATAAGCCAAGAGGCTTTCCACTTTGGTCACTGTTATGGGAAGAGAGCAGCCAAATTGAAATTCCCTCATTGTTAATTTTCCTGCTGAATCTGTTAACTAGAGCTGTCCCTAGGCTCCAGGAAGTAGGAAAACTGCGACCCTTTCTTCAAAAGTGAGAGAGAAAAAACATAGCCTGAAAAGGTGCTGGGAGGACCCCAGGGCTTGATCTAAAGCCCACTGAAGTCAATGGAAAGACTCCTATAGACTTTGATGGGCTTTGCATCCGGCCCCAATAGAACTGGTGGTGCTGCCATGCCCACTGCTTTCAGTTCACACTACCACTGTAACCATGGCAGTGAGATTGGCTCCAAGCAATTGCAATATACTGTCAAATATATACTATTTGCATTGTTGCAACAACTTTTGCATGTGGACACAAGGGGATCTGAATTTAAGAGGTGCTGAGCACTTGCTGCTCCCATTTACTTCCGTTGAAGTTTTGGGTTCTCGGCACTTCAGAAATTTGAGTCTAAGGTGTGTTAGAAGTATGGTAGGTACTATACTTAATTTGGTATTGTCAATACCAATGCAATTTGCCTAAGCCAGCCTTGAATGTAGTTCAGCTGCTCTAGAGGCACAAAATAGTGGTAATGATAAGAGAATAACTTGTGGTACAGAACCCACAATAAAGACACCTACCCTAAATTTTCTAAGTGGTGGTGTCAGGGTTTAGTCACAGTGAGATTGGATTGCAACTAATTTGGTGAGCACAAATATTTTAAACACATGGTAAAATTAACCAGATTAGGCAAGTAATAGTTCAATATTTACCAGGAAAAGTGGGAGGGGAAATAGGGTTGAGTAAATCTTTAACAAAAGAAACTAGAATATATTCTGTTTATCTACTTAGGCATTTCTACTGAGTAGCTGCTTAAAAAAGATAATATCAGAACAGCTGATGAAGACAACCAAAGGAGACAAAGAAATGGTGAGCAAAGCAAGCTATCCGCATCTCTTGGTGCTCAAGTATATGGCAGCTGGCCAGCAACTCTCACTTGTCTATGCTAGGGAATTTTTATGGGAATGAAATTTCCATTGCTGCTACCATCAGTTCAGCTGCATCAGTGGCATCTGCAGTGTAGAAAAGGCTCTCGCAGCTTCCAGTATTTTTACTGTAGATTGAATTGCCAAGGTGGTGGAAATGTCGCAAAAAATATTGTGATCTGGATTTCAAAGATGACCTTTTGTCGTAATGGTGTTTAATGTTAGTCTTTCTCTATCCCCCTCTAGCTTTTATCACACATGACAAACCACACTTATGTGTCTTCCCTCACTTGCTGTATTCAGGTCCTGTCTGAATTTTTGTTTTCTGCTAAGATATTTTGTTCACCATGTTTGCAGTCATCAGTCTGAAATTTGGAAAAAGTCACAGAGACAGAAAGGGCCTTTTTTTAAAAAGAGAGAAGTTTAGTAAACTTAAAAAGTAAAAAGGCTAATAGTCAGAAAGTTCCCTGTTGCCCTCAAATGTTTTTTTAAATTTAAACAGGAACATCTTTTATAGGTGTTAGATTTATTCATAATATTTGAAATTATTAATATGGGAAAGCACCAAACACCAATGTAACCATAAATTCTTTTTATGAAATCTAAAGGCCAAATGGTAGTTTATGCAGTTGCTATAAAGATGCCTAAAAGCCTAACTAATAAGCAATTTACTACATCCAAACAGTAACAAAACATTTATGAGCATATGATTAAGATACTTTCAAATGGGCTAAACCCAGGAGTGATTAGACCCATATTGGTTTGCTCAATGTGGTCAGGCAGGTACTGTATTAGCAATGAACCCTTTTAAGAGTTTACTTTTTATACCCTTTAACAAACAAGTGATGTCATTGCCAATTACTGACTTCTGCTAAAAACAAATTTTGAGACAGTTCACCCTTATTTCCAGTCTTAATCCAGATAAGATTTACAGCCTTCTTTCTTCCCAAGGCCTTTCCTTTCTTATCTTGTCCCGCCATTCCTTGCTTACCAGCAGAACAATGGGAAGGTATAGGCTTGTTTCTTTTAAGACAGTTTGTCTTGTTATTAGAGCTCTTTATTTTATTAGTTACTTTTGGAACCATACATCCTTCCCACACTACAACTACTACTACTTATTCTCATGGACTTTTTTTACTTGCTGATTCTGGCCTTCTTTACTTACGCGCGCACACACACACACACACACACACACTACTTTTTATATATATATATATATATATATATATATATATA